ACGAGGACGACAACGACCACGAGGACGATCACGAGGACGACAACGACCACGACGATGACGACGAGGACGACGACGACCAAGAGGACGAGGACGAGGACGAGGACAGCGACGACGACGACGAGGACGACGACGACGAGAACGACGACGACGATCACAAGGACGACCACGAGGACGACAACCACGACGACGACGACGACGACGACGACCACGAGGACGACGACGACCACGAGGACGACGACGACCACGAGGACGACCACGACGACGACGACGAGGACGACCACGACGACGACGACGAGGACGACCACGAGGACGACGACGAGGACGACCACGAATACGACGACGGCCACGAGGACGAGGACGACGACGACCACGACGACGACCACGACGAGGAAAGCTACGAGGACGACCACGAGGACGACGACGACCACGACGACGAAGACAACGAGGACGACAACGACGACCACGACGACGACGTGGACGACGACGACCACAAGGACGACGACGACGGCGACCACGAGAACGACGACGACCACCGCGAGAACGACGACGACCGCGACGACGACAAGCACGACGACGACAACGAGGACGACGACGACCACGAGGACGACGACCACGACGATCACGAGGACGACGACGACGACCAAGATGACAACGACGCCGACGACGTCGGCGATGACGACCAAGACGAGGATGAGGACGAGGACGAGGACGACGACGACAACGACAACAAGGACGACCACGAGGACGACGACGACCACGAGGACGACGACGACGACGACCACGATGACGACGACGACCACGGCCACGAGCACAAGGACGACGACGTCAACGACGACGACCACGAGAACGATGACGAACACGAAGACGACCACGACGACGACGACGACAACCGCGACCACGACGACGACGACGACGACGACGACCGCGACCACGACGACGACGACGACGCCGAGGAAGACCACGAGGAATACGACGAGAAGGACGACGACGACGAGGACTACAACGACGACCACATGGACGACCACGAGAACGACGACCACGACGACAACGAGGATGACGACGACCACGACGACGAAGACGACGACCACGATGACGACGACGAGCACGACCACGACGACGACGACGACAACGACCACGAGGACGACCACGACGACGACGACAACAACGACGACGACGACCGCGACCACGACCACGAGGACGACGACGTCAGCGACGACGTCAACGACAACGACCACGAGGACGATGACGACAACAACGACGACCACGAGGACGACGACGACGACCACGACGACGACGACCACGACGACGACGACGACGACGACCACGACGACGACGACCACGACGACGACGACGACGACGACGACGACGACGACGACCACGACCACGACCACGACCACGACCACGACGACGACCACGAGAACGACCACGAGGACGAGGACAGGGACGAGAACGACGACCACGAGGACTACGTTGACGAACACAAGGGTGACCACGAGGACGACGACAACGACGACCACGAGGACGGCGACGACCACGACGAAGCCGACGACGACCACGATGACGACGACGACCACGACTACGACGACGACGACGCCGACGACGACGACCACGAGGACGATAACGACCACGAGGACGACCACGAGAACGACGACGACGAGGACGACGACCACGAGGACGCCGATGACGACCACGCACGACCACGACGACGACGACCACGACGACGACGACCACGACCACGACGACGACGACGACGAGGACGACCACGAGGACGACGACGAGGACGACGACGACGACGACGACGCAGAGCGGGCGCGGGGGCGCCAGTCGGGCCCGTCTGACCCGCGGCCCGGCACGCGCCCGGAAGGCGCGCGGCCCGCAGCAGGGCGCCCGCAACAGCGCGGCCAGGGCGCACAGGGCCGCGAGCCCAGGCCGATGCGCCCAGGGCCGCATGGGCGGCGTGCCCGGGACGGCCGGGTCGGGCGACGAGAGCTGCCCTGTATGATCCGGAATGGCACCCCAAACATCTCCCCCCCAGTCTCGGTACCCATTCGGCAAGTCTGCCTCGACCCCGTGGTGGTCGGGGGTGGGGGTGGCGTTTTGGGCTACGAGCCCTGACATGCTCGCGTCGTTAAATTCGGGCGGGAGGTTTTGGACCGTTTTGGGGTTTGGGCCATGTTGGTTGTTCTGGAAAAAATCCGCACTTTGGGGCTTCTGGGGGCCCTGACCGAGTCCCTAGACCGTCAAGAAATGACTCAGGGCGAAAAACCAGTGCCGGGGAAAGGGTCAGGACTCCCAGAGGTCCGAGCCTCCGAAAAACCATGAGATCTTGGCGTATCAATTTTTCGAGCTGTGCATTCTCGCCTGGTTTCGGACTCCAAAATGGCGCAGAAAGGTAGGGTCTAGGGCTCCGGTGGTGAATTCTCGCGACGTCTCAACGTCCGCGCGCCGCCGGATCTCACAGAAATTGGAGCGGTTGTTTTTGTTGCTATCTTCGACCTCTGGGGGCCCTCCAGGGGCCCCCAGGACGATCAAAAAGCGACTCAGCAGGATCAACCTGCCCTTAGGTGACTATAGGGACGTTGTCCAGATCTCCGGGGCTCCACGCATCGAAAGAGTTGGAGCGCCAGGCATCTCTGCTTGCACTCGGAGGAGGGCCAGTCGAGACAACGGCGGGACTCTGGGCCTCCCAGAAAGCGGGTCAGGATGGATCCCACGGGGGGTCAGGGGACCAGGATGCGGGCCAGGGGGGGGGGAGCTGCCGTTGTCTCAACTGGTACTGCTCCGATGTACACATCCACCGCCACTGGCCAGGCCCATCATGGGCCTGGGCCCTGGATTGGTGCCTATGCTTCCAGGGCCAAGCCAGGGGAAGGCTTCTGCGCACCGCCCCTGAACCCAAGATGAGCCTGGCCAGGGGCGATGGACACGTGTTGATCTCGTCGCCCTAGCCGCGGCGCGGTCGGAGCCACGGGCCGCCCCTTGGTAGCCCAATCTGCGCACAGCGCGAGTTGATCCCCTTTCCATTAGGAGGCAACTCCTGGGAGTGTGAAGACATGGGCTCGCGGCCTAACTGTCCTTATCTGCCCTCCTTCCTAAGCAGTACGTCGTAAACTACAAAAGTCCGCGCGGTAAGACATAAACTACATTACTTGTACAGGAAATTCCGCACACGTAATTGTAATCCTCACAAACCAAACAAGAGCACAACGCGGGACATGCAAGCCCCAACCACGCCATGACGCGCTCAACGCCTCGAGCTTTTATACATCGTAGACAATTCAACGCGCAATGCCTTAACCGCGCAGCGTCTCCTGGCTACGGCCAGGACGTCGTTGGGCTTGAGGCAAAATGGCTACGGGCTCGTATTCCACCTCGACTATTCTCCCACTCCCCCCCGTCGTTCTCATTCCTCGTGTTCCTCCTTCCTTCGCTCTCTGTCTCCTTTCGCCACTCACCACATGACCCCCTTCTTTGTTATTATGTTATGCTACTTGGTCCTCTTCAGCCCGCTCATTTTCGAGTGATCAGCCGATCATGTCTTCGAGGTCTGCATCCGTCAAGGGCGGACGGTTATCTGCCTCCTCGTCAGCACGATCAATTATATTCCCTGGTGGGCCGCTGTACATGCGCAGCCACCAGTCTTCAACGCGCTCCCCATAACGCCAGAAAAAACCATGCACCATATTCGCGGCTATACGACGGCTCCCTCACTACTTGCAGGAACCCTCCTGTTTGAAGCTCATCCCAGCCCTGGGACACTGAAGACTCGCATTGCCATTCCCTCCGCATCCCCCTCCCCCTTCTACTCTGACACGTTCTCTCCACCCGCCCACCCACGCCCTCGCCTCCTCGCTCCTCACCCCATTCCTTTTCGACGTGGAGGCGGCAATGCAAATTATCAAAGTCCCCAGCCGCCTTCTTGATATGACGGTAAACGACCAGGTCGACCCCGATGGCACAATAGACCCTCGATCAGTTCGCCAGCGAGCGGAGGCCCAGGATCACGAGCATAGCGTCCGAGGAGGGAGGAGGATGACGACGGGGACGACGAGGTATAGGACGTGCTTGGAGAAAGCTCGGGAATCCAGGGGACGAGGGAGGGCGAGGGGCAGGGCGAGCAGGAAGAGGAGGAAGGAGCAGAAGAGAAGGAGAGGTAAGGCCTGGAAGATGCCCGAGAGCCGAATACGCTCTCGACGAGGCCCCCTCCTCTCGGCTCGCTCCCTCTCGATTGCCAGCTCCCAGTCCATGGGCGATGACGGTGGGAGGCGATGCTGGGGCCTCGAACCTCGCTGGCGGCGTCGACGGCCTGATCCCATTCGTCTCATTCCTCCTTCTCCAGCTCTTCCTCGCCCTCACCCCCACCCTCTTATCATCCCCCTCGTCCTCATCACCCTCCTCGTCATTCTCACCATCTATCGCCCTCCTCCTATTACCTTGCATCCTCGCGATCTGGCCGAGGCATACATCATCCTGAATTATGTTTCTATCTCACGGAACTGGTGCTATGCACGACATCTGGCATGATGGCCATTGAGTTGTCATTGCCTGCCGAAGATTGGTGTGGCATATGTTGTTACGTAGCCTGTGTGCCCCAGGGTCCCACTAGCCACCCGTGAATCTTTGCAGGCCCCCACGGCTGCGCGACGCCCGACTCGACAGCGTCGAGCCCCGGCCTAGAGAAGTTGAAAAGCCAGAGTGCATGTTGCCAAGTTGCATTGCATACCCCATGAGAGCTACGTGGCAAGCGCGTGGGAAGGTACAGAAACAAAAGACGGCAACGTCGAGAGCGACCGACAGCCGTTCAAGTCGCACATACAATACAATAAAATTGACCTGGGCAACACAAAGAGAGAAACACTACGCGCGAAAAGCTTCAATGAGCCCGCGGTCCCAACACCGCGAGATCTTAATAAATACCACTTGGCTCTCAGAACTTGCAATGGATACGCACAAGATCTCACTGGCTTGGCCACTCGCACAAACAGGCCTTACGAGTTTACCCCGAACTCCGCCCAGGCCGTCTCCCACGCAGCTTTGCGCTCCTTCCACTGCGACTGGGTCAGCGTCGACAGGTAGGACAGGTTCATGTGGTTCGCAGCCTTCTTCAGCTCATCGCTCATCTTAGCAGCGTCAGCGGTGACTATCTGCGGGATACGCAGGAAGAACTGCCAGGCGTCGATTTCCTTGTTCCTGCACCCAGGGTAGTAGTAGATGGGCTGGGGAATCCAGCCCCAGGGCACATAGATCACCGAATGCTTAGGCGCGTAGATACAGATCACGTTCTCGGAGTCCTTCATGAACTCTTCAGCCGACTCGCCAGACAAGAAGGCCTTGACGTCGGTGAGCGAAATGCCCTGCCTCAGGATCGCCTCGGCGTTCCAGAAGATGAAGAAGATGGCCTGGCTCAAAGGCGAGGCGAAGAACGCCGCCACTGGCAACGGGAACGCCGCGGGCCCCAGGCGAAGCGAGTTACGAGACACCGTAGTCAAGAACGCTGCGAAGTCCTCCTTTGGCTTCGTCGGGCCGCCCTCCTGAACTTTCGCCTCGATCTTCAGCTGCGCGCCGAGCCAGTCGCTGTGGATCGCCATCTTCTCGCCCAGCTTCTTCGTCTGTTTCTTCAAGTCGTCCTCCATGCTCTGGAGCATCTTCTCGAACCACTCAGGGGCCTTGGACCACGCCTGGAACGCATGTGGATCGAAGGCGCCGTCAGCGCCCTCTATGTCCACCGACGCGTCGCCAATGGCAACAACCTTCTCCACCGACGCAGGCATCTCGACCATGAGATCCATCTCCTCGCTCGGGATGGTGCCCAGAGCAGTCTCCCAGATCTTCGACACCAAGGGGGCCTCCAGCTTCGCGATCTTTTGGGGGAAGCTCTTCCCAGACAACGCGTTCTGAACCTGGGCAGGGTTGGGATACATAAAAAACGAAATCAAACCTCACTCCTGGTCTTCATCCTCCTCCCCTCCTCCTCCCTCTCCCCCTCCTCCTCCTCATCGTCATCATCCCTCCTCCTCCTCTCGCCCAGCGACGTTTCCTTGTTATTCGTCATCTGCCTTGATCCTCCTCATTCCGTTCCACCGCCTCCACGTCACACAGTAAGCAAAACATGCACAGTGCTTATGAGGACATATGTTCTGCTGGCGTTTCTCTTCCCCCTCCTCCTCTTCTCCCATCGTCATGCGCGTACTCCTCCTCCTCCTCCTTCTTGTCGAGTTTGTTAGTTACTTCGCATCTCGCCTGCCTCTTCATCTTCCTTCTCTTCCTCCTCCTCATCCCTGACCTCATCCCCCTCTGCATTCCAGCCGAGTCTGCGTTGTACGTCGCGGCGCAAGGCCGAAGAAAACAGGACGGCGCCCGAGAAATATGCGTGCTAGTCCTGAGGCCCCAGGCCGGCAATTTTGGAGCAAGTTGGATTGCCAGAGGCTGAGGCGGAGCAGGAGACAAGGAGTCCAGAATGCAGGGTTCCAGGGGTTCCCTCGCCTTCGATACCGACGTGTTCTGGATGTTCCCGATGGCATGCGGTGTCCTCCTCCTCCTCCTCCTCTCTTACTCCATTCCCTTCCGCATCCCTCGTCCTTATCCCCCCCGCTCCTCGCCGTCGTTCCTATCACGCCGCCCCTGTCCTCCCTTCTTGTCCTCCTGCTCTTGCTCAGGCGTTCTCCCCATCCCCCCTTCCACCCTTCCACTCCCCATCCTCGTTCCTCCTCCACATCCTCCACCTGCCCCTCCCCGACCTCCCTCTCCCATCGGTTCGAGCCGAGATTGTATCCCGCTCATCTCATTCCCTAGATTTTGTGAACGCCCATCTAGGGAGCTGCGAGCCTTGAGGACCTGGTGGCGGTCGTGCAAGTACGTCGTCCTGCGCTCCTTCCCAGCCTGCTGGTCGATGATCTGCAGGCTCGTGAGCGCCCTCGTGCCGTTGGATTTCGCCGTGTCGTGGTCCTGCTTGATCTTATTGAACTCGACAACCAAGGCCCCCAGCGTGCCCTCCTTCGCCTTGTCGGCTCGTGTGCAGAATTCCTTGGCGGACTTGTGGCTGTCGCTGAGCTCGGTGATCACGTCGTCAAGGTTGGTCGGGAGGTCCTGGTGCCCACGATGCTTGTTCTTGAGCTTCTCCAGCTTCGTCTGAAGGGTGGTCTTACCACCGAACATCTTGAGCAACTCCTTCGACTCCTTGATCAACTCCTGCTTCCTCTTGAGGTGGCTGGCGTGCTCGCCCATCGGGGCGCCGTCCAACGCGCGGCGCCCACGGTCGCGGCCGCGCCCCTTGCCACCCAGCCCCGATGTAGTACGAGTCGAATGCCCCGATGCACTGGGGCCCCCTGAGGAGCGGCCCCAGGAGCTTCTTCCGTCCTCGGACTGGCGCGAGATACCCTCCATGCCCTCGTCGTCGTCGTCCGCGTCCCCAGTCCTCACCTATTGGCCCCTCTCCTCGCGGGTGCCCGTCCGCGTGCCCGTGGTGTTGTCCCCTTTGACCTTCACGGTCTGCTCATCGTCGCTGTCGTACTGGGGGTTCTGGTCGAAGCGCTTGTCGAACTCCACGTCCGCGTCCTCTGGTTCCATCTGCTCCCAGAACTGCATGTGCGCCTTGAAGCGCTTGCGCGTCAGGATGAGATCATCCCAACCCGAGGTGCTCTCTTTGAACTTGCCCTTGTAGTTGAGCTCGGCGACCTTGCGCTTGATCCCGTTGCGCTCTGAGGCGCGCGTCTTCTTGCTCACGAGGGGCATGTGCCTGCTGCGCCATTTCGGAGGGCCCCCCGCGAAGTCTTGCTGGTCGGCGTCTGCCTCAGGAGTGCCTCGGGATGTCAAGATTACGACCCCCTCAGGCACCGTGAAAAATACCGACCCCCACTGCAAAGGGGCTGGAAGCCCCATGGCGGTGGGGCGTTGGTTTTCTTCTCGGGGCACAGCGTTTCCTGGGGGTGTGAGCGGTTGCCTCCAAGCCTTTTCGTCTTATTCGAATAAGACGAAATATGGGTGATCTGGGATTTCGCGGTTCTCTTCGGCCAGATAAATACCTGGGCCCCCCCGCATGGCACCGTGGAAACATTCGCCCAACATAAACATACATATATATATATATGTAGATATAATCGGCGAGCCTGCAACGAGCCTGCGGCGGCAACGTGCCGCGTTGAAGCAAGGGCAGTGCAACTTCTCGCCGAAGTATGTCTTGATGTCGTCATCGTCTCCCAGCGGGTCCAAGCACAGGTAGCACACCTCCTCGTTTTCCTCGCCAGCCTTCATGGACTGCTTCCTGTCCGAAGCGCCGCAAGAGGAGCGACGGTCACGGGGCGCCCCCCTCGGCTCAGGCGATCCCCCGAGACGAGGAGCGTCGCCAAGCATCTCCTCCGAGTCGGACATTCCTCCGAGCTGGGTCTGTCGCAGAGGGGGGCGATGGCCCAGGTGCAGAAGACAAGGCAAGAGCAGGCCAGCGATTTGAGCCACAATGGGCTGAACCAGCACTGAAGATGCGTAGGAGCAACGCTGACTGGGTAGGCCTGGGATCCACTGCGAGCGCTGTTTATCTGAATCGCCATCCTTCTGTTTCCCATTCCCGTCCTCGCCTATCCGATGTTGTCCCTCGTCGTCCTCATCGGTCCTCTAACCTTCCTCCTCTTCCTTCTTCTCCTCGTTCGCCTCCTCTTCACTCCTCCTCGTCCTTTTGCAGCCTCCTCCTCCTCCGTCTCCTCCTAGGCCCACGCACGAGCGCCTTCGTGGGGAGAGAGTGGCGCAGGTGACATCATGGGCCACCCCAGAGCTCGACTCGCTTGTAAGGGAGCCCTACTTCAAAATAGAACCCCCCGATGGGGCAGCATCACACCCCGTATTGTTTAGCTCATCCCAGTGTTGCTCATTCGAATCGTCTGAGGGTTCCCCTTTCCTCCCTCGCAGGTTCCCGATCCCCTTTCTCACCCTCCTCCCCATACTACCACTACCCCTGACAGGCCCGACTTGCTCGAGCTGGCGAGCTTGACACCCAGACTTACTCGGGCTCAGACCTACTCACACTCAGACCCACTTAAAGTCGGGATCGCTCGCACTCAGATTCAGTCGCACTCAGACTCACTCGCGCTATGACTGCAGACTCGCACTCGGACTTTCCGACAGTCTGGAAGATTGGGGAGGTGAACGAAGAGGGGGAGGAGCAGGAGGGAAAGGAGGATGGAGTGTACAAGACCTCTGCATACGAGAAGAAGGATAAGGAGGACGTCAGGGAACTGCGTGACTTAGGAGGACGTCGATGTGGCGTGCATGTGTGTTTTGTAACCATCGTGTGCAACACGATGAGCACTGGACTGCGAGCTATCGCTCTTGTCACAATCAACTTTAAACGTTTCGGGTAAAATGCCCGACGCCCAACTGAGACTGTCAGATGCATGCAACGCGACCCGAATGAGGAGGAGGATGAGGAGCAGCAGAGGATGAAGAGGCAAAGGGACAAAGGATCTCCACATCATGACACAAAACTGCGAGCAATAACACATGCCAGCAACATGGGCCTGCGAATGCTACACACCGCGCAGCGCTTGCCTCAGAACTCCTCGCTCTGCTCTTTCAAGGCCTGCACCTCTGCGCGGTGACCAGCAATGTGTTGATTGTCTTTGTCAATGGCTTTATTGATACACATAGCGATGTCAACTAGCTTCCTGCGCAACGTGCTAGCGCGCTTCTTCTCGCGTTTAAGCTTGAGCCTAGCCACCTTGTACAATTGAGTCACGATCCGAAGGCGCCTCAGGCGCCAGTTCTGGAGGCGATGGAGGGCCTTGGGGGGCATTCTCCAGGGAAACGATGAGCTGCGCGGTGAGAGTCTTAAAGAGAAGGGCTCACGACAAACCTGTTCGAACCAAAACTGCTATATGCACCCGCGCCCAGTCCGGACAAATATGTGGTTGGGATGACGGCATAACTTGCGATGAGCGGACCATGGTGTTGTAGGAGTGTTATGACGTGTTCGGTGTCTCACCTTGATTCAGGCCGAACTGTTGTCGAACTACGCATGCATTGCTTTTGCGTAGTGAGCAACATATGCGACGATGCTTGTACAACGAGAAATTGTGGCTCGCATTATAAAGGACATGCACTGCGCCGGCACGTCCACATGACTCGCTATCATAACAACATGCATATGCATACACATGTATGTACCCATACAATGATTCCACGATGCAAACATCATGTTGGTGATGAAGGTTGGAAGGTCATGTTTCCGGGAGAAAGCCGTTCATATTTTTCAGTGGTGCTCCACGTAATGCATTGGTTTAAACTGGTTCTGCATGGTTTCAACAGGTTTTGTTTTTGGTTTAAACTGGTTTTGTGTGGTTTCAACACGTTTCGTTTTTGGTTTAAACTGGTTTTGCGTGGCTTCATCACTTTTTGTGTTTGGTTTAAACTGGTTTTGCGTGGCTTCATCACTTTTTGTGTTTGGTTTAAACTGGTTTTGTGAAGTTTCAACAGGTTTTGTTTTTGGTTTAAACTGGTTTTGTGTGGTTTCAACAGGTTTCGTTTGGTTTAAACTGGTTTTGCGTGGTTTCAACACGTTTTGTGTTTGGTTTAAACTGGTTTTGCGTGGTTTCAACAAGTTTTGTTTTTGGTTTAAACTGGTTTTGTGTGGTTTCAACATGTTTTGTTTTGGGTTTAAACTGTTTTTGTGTGGTTTCAACTGGTGTTGGGGTTGTGCCGGCGTGACTTAATGTTGATATGGCCTAAACTGGTTTTGGTTGGTTTTAACTGGTTTTGTGTGGTTTTAACAGCTTTGGGATTTTGGTTTAAACTGGTTTTGCGTGGTTTCAACACGTTTTGTTTTTGGTGTAAACTGGTTTTGTGTGGTTTCAACAGGTTCTGCGTGTTGGTTTTAAAAGGTTTTGGGTGGTTTCAACAGGCTTTGCGCGGTGCC